TGGCTTAGGTGCCCTTGGAGGGACAAATGACTGCAGGGTTTTGGGCACTATAATCATGAAGCGGACATTGTGCAATTTTTTGAAAATGGTTCGGACTATATATTGAGGCGCCCAAAAAAAGACAAATCATGATACACTTTGCACTGATTCCCCTTTTGTTTGACTTTCCTGTTTACATGTTTTGAAGCACTTTACCCACTGTTCATATTTTCAATCTTCCTGTTTTGTTGCAAATAAATGTTTACATGTTTTAAAGCACTTTAGCTAATGTTAATATTTTAAATACGCCAGTTATGTTGTAAATAAATATTTAGATATTTAAAACACTTACAGCTTGATCCTTCCCCTGAATCTGTGTCTGGGGTAACGGCTGGGGAGGGTTGGTAGGGGATCTCTGTCAGGGTGATGAAGAGCTCCTGGCTGTCGGGCAAATCAGCGTTGTAAGCGCTGTCTACTGCCTCGTCCTCCTCATCTCCTTCCTCCTCTTCCCCGTCCGCTGAGGAACCGGTCGCGGACAATATCCCATCCTCAGAGTCCACGGTCACTGGTGGGGTAGTGGTGGCGGCCGCACCTAGGATGGAATGCAGTGCCTCGTAGAAACGGGATGTGTGGGGCTGGGATCCAGAGCGTCCGTGTGCCTCTTTGGTCTTCTGGTAGCCTTGTCTCAGCTCCTTGATTTTCACGCGGCACTGCGTTGCATCCCGGCTGTAGCCTCTCTCTGCCATGGCTTTAGAGATCTTCTCATAGATCTTTGCATTCCGTCTTTTGGAGCGCAGCTCTGAAAGCACGGACTCATCGCCCCACACTGCGATGAGATCCAAGACTTCCCGATCCGTCCATGCTGGGGCCCTCTTTCTATTGGATTGCACGGCCATCTCTGCTGGAGAGCTCTGCATCGTTGCCACTGCTGCTGAGCTCACCACGGTGTCCAAACAGAAACTGCGCTTCAAACTGCCCAGACAGGAAAAGGAATTCAAATTTTCCCGGGGGAGTGGCTGGTCAGAGCATCCGAGCTCGGACTGCTGTCCAGAGCGTCAACAGAGTGGTGCACTGTGGGATAGCTCCCGGAGCTATTAGCGTCGATTTCCATCCACACCTAGCCTAATTCGACATGGCCATGTCGAATTTAGCGCTACTCCTCTCGTTGGGGAGGATTACAGAAATCGATTTAAAGAGAGCTCTATGTCGAACTAAATGGCTTCCTGGTGTGGACGGGTGCAGGGTTAATTCGATATAACGGCGCTAAATTCGACATAAAAGCCTAGTGTAGACCAGGCCTAAGTCACGGCTTTCTGGGGGCGCTGTTTATGTGCTGACTTTGTGACACATTATAAAATAGAGACGCTGGGTCATTACATCATAACACACCCAGAAAGTCATCAGGGCTGGAACTAGGGTGCTGGGGTTCTGCTGCACCCCCTGGCTTGAAGTGGTTTCCATTATATCCAGGGTTTACAGTTTGGTTCAGTGGCTCTCAGCACCCCCATTATACAAATGGTTCCAGCCCCCCAACAGACAGTTCTGATTTGTCCTTTTTTGGCTTTGCAGAAAATAGGACAGGCCCGTGCAAATTGTGATTGCCTTGTACATTTTGAAACAGTGTAACAAATCCACTGGCTATTGAAAACAGATACAAAATCACAGATCCCCACACACTGACGGGATGAGAAACTTGGGGGAAAAGAGCCATTCACAGTTTGACCTAAAGGAGACCTTCCTCTGCTGAAACACCCCTACTTCGACAGTATTTCACAACTAGGAGATGTTTTCAGATGTTAGGGGATGGACTTTACTATCCTTTGCACTGACTACTATATACCAGAAATCTCATCTGGGCTCTGAGCCGACTCTCCCACAGTCTGAAGCCAGTAGCCACTTTGCCATGGGTCCGGTTTCAGACCCACACACTCCTCGCTGAAGTCCAGGGATGAGAAGCACCCTTTAGCATGCTCCATATTCTCTTGCTTTGTCAACGAAAAAAGCTTCATTCTAAACTTATTTTCTTACCAATAATAATGATGGAGTCGAAAAACGTCTTTCATGTTAATTTTGCACTGAAAGGAGCAAGCGATTTAGTTTTGCCTTTCCAAGGGGGCTTCTTTGCATGCTCCATATAGTAGCTCTAAAGTGGTTGTAATCAATATCAAAAGTTTTGGTATTTTTAAAGAATATTATAAGGATACAACAAAATGTCATAGAAATGTCATCTTCAGTGAAACATGCACTTTATCTCTTTTATAACTGTGCAATCACAAAGGCAGCCAGTGGTGGGGTTGTGTCGTGTTATCTGGCCTCAGTCTGAAGACTGTCCAATAAGGGACCGCTGGTATTTTTCCATGTTTCTCTTCTGGAGCCACCTTACTCACATTTCCCCTTACAGGCAGCTATCAACGCAGCCAGGCCTGCAGGGCGGAGAGCGCCAGGCAGGGAGGGTTGGGTCGGTTGGTCACCCCACCCCACCCCACCCTGTGTGAGAGAGGGGTACAGGAGTGTGTGTGTGTGGGTCACCCCTCCCTGTGTGAACCCTGAAGCCTTAAAGATAAGAAGGTAAATAAAAAGAATCCAACTACGCAGCATTTCTTTTTAACAGGGGCTCAGTCAACTCACTGTTAATTTGAACGTTTGTGCTGCATAGTTCTGGCTGATTGCCGTTGAACTCGCTTGAATACCTGTAATTTTACCAGGTGTCCTGTATTCAGCACAGGGAAATATGGTCACCCTATTTAGATGCCCAACTCCCATTGAGTGACCTGGTGGCCTCCATTAGCGCCTTCCAACATAACAGCATGTTACAATCCATGGCCACATAGGGACCATAAACAGACAGTGAAGGAATGGGTGGCGGAGAGGGACATGTATGACGTGCAATTTCCCTTTGTGTTATTCAGAAAACCGCAATGCACCATAAAGGCATCTCCAATCACTGGGTTGGACTCCGGAGGGAACCGGGCCAGCCCTGGAGATGGGTGGATGGCGCTGCATTCGACCACCTGTGAGTCCCTTTCTTTCTGACTGCACGGGGGGAGGGTCAGGATTGAGGGGATCCACACCATGATATAGGGCAACTATGGCCAGAGCCCCACCACCACCTGGGAGCCTCAGGGAAGCCCCATTCCCAGAGAGGCAGCAGCCGCCTTTTCCCCCTCCGGAAGTGGCAACAGGGGCCTGTCTACTCCCAGAGAGGTATTGGTGGAAGCAGTGGGATCTGTCAAAACCTTGCCCAACAGCTGGGCCTACTGCTCTCCTCTTTCCTTCCCCACAGCGCCCCCTGCTGGGGTGGGGTTAGCATGGGCTGTACCTACTAGCAGGGATCCAACACACTGTCTGTCATCTGTGTATAGGTCGCACTATAAGTCATGGCTGGGAGTTTACAGCAGCAGCCAGCGTCAGCCTGGGCCGAGGCTGCTGTCATTAGAGAAGCATTACACAAGAGATATGCCTGTATCTGTGCGCATATTGGAGCTGGCCGGGACTTTCCCAATGCAGCGTTTTTCCATCACACAATGCCAATGCATCAAGGGGGGAGAGGGATAGCTCAGTGCTTTGAGCATTGGCCTACTAAACCTAGAATTGTGAGTTCAATCCTTGAGGGGGCCAATTAGGGATCTGTAGCAAAAAATTGGTCCTACTAGTGAAGGCAGGGGACTGGACTCAATGACCTTTCAAGGTCCTTTCCAGTTCTATGAGATAGGTGTATCTCCATTTATTATATTAAACCCTTAGCAAAACCATGTGGGTTGCAACAAAATTTCATTTTGAAACAAAAATGGAAGAAAAAGTGTTTTGACCTTTTCGGAATGGAAGGGTTGGATTTCCCATTTCAAAATGCTGTCTCCGCTCCGTTTTTTAATTGTATATAAAACAATTCTTTTAAAAGTCAAAATCAGAACGAAATGTTTCAATTGCCCCGAAATAACGACGACAAAAACTCTGCATTGTTTTGCGGGACATTTCCTTTTGTTTTCTTCCATTTTGGAAGAGAAAACATTTAAAACTCGGCTATTTTCCTACAAATTGAAAAATCTACTTCCCACCCCACTATAGTGTGTATGGAGATGGCTCACATAAAGAGCGCCATCTAGTGGCACTTAAGAATACGTAACATTTTTCACATACCACAAGTTTACTCCGAGTCGTTCTATGCTCCCCTCTACTGATTGGAACATATAGAGGAATTATGGATCGTCTACAGCCTTTAAGCTAAGAGGGGTTGGTCTTTTAGCTCAGGCAGTAGAGGTGCCAGCACTTAGACCCAGAACTCCCAAATTCGATCCTCGCTTCTGTCAACCACACACAGGGGTGGCCTTATATTCACAATTTTGTAGGACCAATAAAGTTATTGTTGTCATGCACCACAAACAGCTTCTGGATGGCACGGCTCTTAATGTGGTGCCAGGAGTGGGAGGACTTTAATTCTTTGGGGTCACTGGCCAGAAACACTGTGCCACTTCTGCAAGGGCTGTGAGCAGCATTTGTGCTCTCGGAGCCTATATTAGGTGTAGCAGCCTGCATGGAACTTGGAGGGAGGAGCACAGGTTGCAGGGGGGAAGAGTTTGGAGGAAGCACCAGGCAGTCGGTCTGTGTGCACATGGCTGGAATGTTAGCTGCAGTCACAGCACCTCTGTCAATTATTCTCTTAACAAAGAGCCAGTTTAGTTTAAGAACATGGACAGTGTCATTAGCCCAGCGCAAACCCCTGGACATGTCTGTCCTTTCTGGGCACATGGCGGGAGAATTGTGGGAAGGCATTGGAGGATGATCAGCACTCGAGGGGTATTGCTTGTGTCCACACCACAAAGCGGACGGGTTACCAGCTCAGGGGACAGCAGCCAGGCCAGCTAGCCCAGGTTGAAAGCACCACGAAACTCAGCCAAGAGGATTGTGGGGGCATGGAGGGGGGTCAGGATAACACTTCAGTGAAGAGATATATACCTTGGGGGAATGATTGGGTGTAGCTACATCAGCGCAAAGATCCCCCCTGCACTGTTAAAACGTGTCCCTTACACCTCATTTGTCTGGCTTTGCCTTCCAGCCAGTTGTTCTCAGTGTGCTTTTTTCCGCTAGGTTCACCGGGGCCTTTGGGATTAATCCTCTTCCTCTCCACTGCAGCTTTGAGGTCAGAGGAGCCGGACTCTGCGCTTACCTGGATGACAGCGTTGTGAACAGCGCGGGCTGCGACACCGAGAGGAAGTGGGCCTGCAGCAAGCCAGACGGACAGACGGGGGGGAAGCAGAGAGACCCAAAGTGTTAAGAGCAGCCAAACTGCAGGCTTAGGCTACAGCGTGACTGTAATAATAGCCCTGTGGCGGGAACCAGGTTGGACCTCTCTGGACGACGCCAGAGCAAATCTTGGCAGTTTACCTCTAACTAACATTATTCTCTAAATGTCACCGTCATAGACTGTGAGGACAGACAGATCCATAGTCATCTAGAAGCCCAGTGCTAACATCTGACAATTCTGAAGGATCTGATTTTTAAAACAAGTGATCTTTTTAACCAAGCCACAGGAAATCATAAGAACACAAGAACAGCCATCCTGGGTCAGACCAAAGGCCCATCTAGCCCAGTATCCTGTCTACCGACAGTGGCCAATGCCAGGTGCCCCAGAAGGAATGAACAGAACAAGGAATCATCAAGTGATCCATCCCCTGTCGCCCATTCACAGCTTCTGGCGAACAGAGGCTAGGGACACCATCCCTGCCCAGCCTGGCTAATAGCCATTGATGGACCGATCCTCCGTGTATTTATCTAGTTCCTTTTTGAACTCTGTTATAGTCTTGGCCTTCACAACATCCTCTGGCAAAGAGTTCCACAGGTTAACTGTGTGTTGTGTGAAGAAATACTTCCTTTTGTTTGTTTTAAACATGCTGCCTATTAATTTCATTTGGTGACCCCTGGTTCTTGTGTGATGAGAAGGAGTAAACAACACTTCCTTATCTACTTTCTCCACACCAGGCATGATTTTATAGACCTCTATCATATCTCCCCTCAATCGTCTCTTTTCCAAGTGAAAAGTCCCAGTCTTATTAATCTCTCCTCGTACCTTTTTGCCTCTCACTGCTTCTTTTACTTTGTTGTTTAGCCACTGTGGCACTTTTTTGGTTCTCTTACTATGGGTTTTAATTTGGGGTATACCTTTAAGTTGAGCCTCTATTATGGTGTCTTTTAAAAGTTTCCCTGCAGTTTGCACGGATTTTACTTTTGGTGCTGGACCTTTTAATTTCTGTTCAACTAACTTCCTCATTTTTGTGTAGTTCCCCTTTCTGAAATTAAATGCTACAGTGTTGGGCCGCTGTGGCGTTTTCCCCGCCACTATTACCAAGCGGTCCAGCTATACCAGTGATCGCCAACCTTTTTACACCCAAGATCACTTTTTGAATTTAAGGGCAACCCAGGATCTGCCCTGCCCCTTCCCCGAGTCCTGCCCCTTACCCAAAGCCCCCCCC